CGTATGCGTGTTAAAAACTTTTTGTCAACGGCAAGGGTTTTACAAGGCGCACGGGGGGTATTTCATGGGTTAAGGTGGGTCTCCAGCAGAGTTTGTCATTTCGCTTGTTTGACTCTTCCTTTCCGACTGCCCCCGCCCCTTTTCAGCGCCCTTTTTCGGCATTTTGGTCACATTTTACCCGCATTTTTTGTTTTTTTTTTTTTTTTGTTGTCAGCTGTGTATCTCTAACAATGCGAAAATTGTATCTTAAGCGGGTGTAACTTGTATACGGATGGATTTGTATCTGCTATCCGTTTAGCGGTTGACTTTTGTTGTCTTCTTTATGCTGGTTGGTTGGGTGAATTGTGGTTGATTATGGAGGTATCTGAACAGAATGTATTACCTATGGTTTAGGCTTTTTTTTAGTACGTTTGATCTGGCAATTTGGTGTGAATAGGTTGCTAGCTTACTTCTGTGTATAAATAATACAAATAATTCAACATATAGAAAAATAATTGGCATAAATATCTATCAAGTTTTTTAAAAATTTTAACTTTTATGAGATACAAATTTTAACTTATAAATTAAGCAACTGGCACTGGAATTTCGTTACCAAATATGTATGATAGGATATGTTTAATTTCAGTTTTTTAAGCTTTAAATTTGTTTGCCAGCCATATGTAATCTCAACGGTTGTTTATTTGCCATTTTGTATCTCAATTTCCATTTTTCGCCTCCAGATTTTTATTTCCTGTATTTTTTTGCAGTTCGCTTGCCCTTTGAACTGCAATTAAGATTGCTCCGCTCATATGCCAGCTGCTGCCTTAGGGGGTTGTAAGCCAGCCCGCTTTTTTCGCCCCATTTTCCCGGCCCTTTTCCTCCCTATCTCCACACTCCTTACCTCTGCCGACTGCGCTGCTTTGTCGTTTCATTTGCATTCTTATCGGCTTCTCTGCCATGTTTAAATGTCGCCAGCATGAAAGTTTTTTTGCACCCACCCTCCGGAATTTTGTTTTTTTTTTTTTTTTTTTGATTTTAGAATGTTTCTTCTTGTGTTTATCTTTTGTCACATGTGAGTAGGGCGCGCCTCCACGAATATATTTTATTTTTTACTTTTTCCTCATCTCTGCAGCTGTTGATTTTTGATATATGGGTCCCTGCGGTGCTGTTTGCCTTCGCGTGAGTGGGAGTGAACTGTGACTGCGAATGTGACTGGTAGTCACATTTCAATGCGTTTGACTTTGGTGTGAGCTTAAATACGTATACGTCAAGTGGTGCGGATGTCAGTGGTTTTCTGCTGTGTAATCAAGAGTCAGAACAGGAAACTTGCCAACGGCAAGGAATCAAAGGCGGAAAGTCTTCCCAGATAAAGGATTTGAGAAGGGCATGTGAGGCGAAGGAATTTCCACATTTTTCACACTTCCACTGAGCCAGATGAATTAGATGCTAATGATGGTGACGAGGGATACCCAGAAAGGGCTTTACTTTCACTTGATTTTCGAAACACGATAATTGCATACGTCCACGAAGAAGACATGCCCATTTACATTCGGAATTCTCTGGCCGGCAGGCAAATGTTTTCAAAATGTTGGTCAGCTTGCAATTTCATTCGAAATCCTGGGCGACTTCATTCCCAGCAAATTGTTATTTCAATTGTCAGCACTCCTCCCCATATGCAGTTAATTTTGTGCTTGTGACTGCAATAAATTTTAAATGCACATTTCCAATGAAAGAAGCGAACCGAACCCAATGAAACGAAACGGAAAACAATTTTGTGCAATTTCACTAAAACGACATGGCCATGGTGTGCTAAGGGGGTGGTTGGCTGGTGCAGTGGGTCAAAGTGACACACATATGGCAAAGTCCTGGCTACAGGACCAACAACAATCGAGAATCGATGTCCTCGGACTTTAGGAATTCAGACCTCCGCAACTCCGCAACTGACGACAAATGAAATTGTTGTTGGCAAAGTGCAGCGTTTAAGGAACACACATTCGCTTCCATATTGCATTTGTATATTGCATTTGGCCAGCAATCGTCCTTTGCCATTTGCAGTCTTATGACAGTTTTTAAAGCAATTTTCTATGAGTGTAAATTTGGTTTAAGTTGGTCCTTGGCGACAGGATTTTACACTTATTCTCTTGTGGAGAGTTTAACCACATTTAATAGTACAAGTTTTGTGGTTTTTATAGCAAAAGGTGTGGGAATTATCCAAGAAAAATTGGTCTTGATTGAAGTGAGTAAGTCAGCAGAGATACTTATGAGTGTATTGTCTTTCTATTAGGTAAATTAAATTAAAAATACAAACTTTAAGCGCAAGAGATCTTGAAAAATGTTTCTTATTCATTTTGGTTTTAAAATAAAAATTTAAAATTCCTTTTTACTACATGAACATAAAAATCACTTTTTGCTTTTTATTTCAAAGTTCCTCAAAATTTTTTAATCGGTAATTTGTTTTAATAATGCTCGGTGGAATTTGAATTGATATACTATATATCGTAAAATTTTATTTTTAAAATATCAGTTTTTATGGCGTTATTTATGTTATATGGTTATTGCTTGTTTTGCCACCGACATGTTGGCAAAGATTCTGAATTTTAAACGCGGCTAATTGGGAATAAACTCATTAGACGCCAGGCAGCCACCCTTTAAAACACCTTTCACCGCACACACGAGAATAGAGCGCCCGTGTGGCAAGCTGATGATAGCACCACCCACTCCCATTTCCATCCATTTTCCAGGGTTTCCACGCGAAATTCAGCGCACATTTGGCTTGTTATCATTTTCATGGTTTGTGCGACACATTGATGGCGCAAGAGAGAGGGGCGATGGCGACAAAAAGAGACGGGTAGCTTGTTGGCTCATTTGTGTGCGCATTCATTGGCATTTGTTTGGAAAGGGGGCTACATTTGTTTTAATTATTATGAAAAGCAAATTGCATAATTAAAAATTTTAAATTCGTTTTAATTTTTAATTACAATTAATTCGATGCACAGCTTTTTGAATATTCCAATGAAGCGGAAAAGGTTAAAAGCCAATAGGTAATAGAATGAGTGTGCACTAATGGGTTAATTGCCAGCACTGGGATTGCCTCACACATTGGAGTGAAAATCCCCAAGTTATATCCCAATTAAAATGCTGTGGAGATGGCTTAGACCGTCGACTCTTATCAGGAGCGATTTTTCAGGCCAGACGGAAGATTTTTCGTCCACTATGATGGATGGTCGCTTGCATGTGAGGCAATCAAACGGTCGTAATGTCATCAACACCAGCCATAAGTGGTCAGCAGGACCAAAGGATCTCGAACTCGCACTCGCACACGTGCACACATGACAGGATGATGATGATGAGTCACTTTGGTCACGAAGCTATTTTTACGCTTGATTACACGATAAATGAAAATCAAACGTTTGATTGCTTAATGCCTGGGACTAAGGGTCATCCGCACCACCCACTCTACTGAAACCAAACCACCCGCAGAAGTGCTGCAATTTTGCCAAACTACAAGTCTCTAGAGAAAGCGAACGGAGAAGTGTGCACTGAGAAAAATGCCTAATATAAATAATGCACCTTAGAAACATACTGTGTTTTTGAATAGCGATTTTGGAAGTCATAACACAGTTTTATAGAAATAAAATACGAAAAAAGTTTTAATATATTATTTTTTCTATTTTTGATGTGTTAAACCAAAATTTTCAAAATTTTAGGAATAATGACCTTAAAGATATACCTTGTCCATAAGTAAATTAAGTAAAAGCACTATATTGGCAAAAAGACTAACCTCGACCTTAGTGTCATTATTCCTGAAACTTACTTTTTTAAGAAATTTCGTATCAAAAATATTTCTGAAATTTATTTATTTGATTTACTCAAACGTTTTTTTTTTTTCATATTATGAATTTAGTGAATTTTAATTATAAAAGGTTTACTTTTTTTAGTGTGATTTACCGGGGTCAGTGAGTGAACATTTCAATTATTTATATGCTTGTTTGTCTCCCTCGCTCTTTTTGATCTGCATGGGTGGTTGGGTGTTTAGATGGGTAATACGGGGGGTTCGTGGGTGTGCACGTGTCTGATAGCACGAAGAACTCTAACACTTGACTGCCTTCTCCCGGTTATCATTTATTTTTTGCTTCCCTTGGCCGGACTTTGACTGATTTGATGATAGTTGAGTGCGTTCCAGAAATTTATTGCCCAGTTCCAATCTAACAGTCCAACACCTCTTCGAGTCGGTGATGGAAATCTTCCTGCTTCGCACCTTGATTGATTTGTTAATCTCCAAACGAAATACAAATTAAAAGCTTTTTGTTTTTTCCCACTCCAAAACCCGCATAAACCGCTTATGTTAATTAAATTTCTGGGGTTATTCAATGTACAAAGTTAAGAGCTCTTCCCCCAATCAATCAATCCGAGGAAATGTCTTAAGAGGAAATCCTTTTAGTTGTTTGTTGTTGTTATGCATTCGCAACTTAGTTTAACAGCAAATGTATTCACATTTTTGACTCAGAACAGAAGGGGTTAAATCATTGGGAGGTCGACGTCCTAGTATATTGATGAGTGGGGTTAGTTGCTTGTCAAAGCTTCTTGAAATAAGAGCTAAGTAATCAATAACCAAATGCCCCCTAAGATTGTTGAAAATATCTTAAAGGGTAAAGTTTTAATAAAACGAGAAATAGAGAGATTTCGATATTTTCTGTTTTGCTTAAAACACAAATTTACCATACCAAATTTTAGATAGTTACTTACTTTAAAATTTGTTTTAATATTTGTATTACATTTTTCATACTAAAACCTTGAAAATTCTTTAAATAAATTCTTTTTAACACTTGCATCACTCACCGTAGTTTAATGTAGCACAGATCTTTAGCTTGCTTTGATTTATATTACTAGTAGTTTCACTTCAACACTTCAACAAGTCCCCTGCCATCGACACTTGATAAATGCTTGGCTGGTTCCGAAAATCTTGGTGTCTCAATGTCGGTGACATATTTACAGCCCACTGCCTTTCAAGTTCAGATCAAGACCTTTAGGATGTGCACTTTTAATTAATTCGCATACGAGTTAAGGTTAAACAGATAGAAACGTAGGAAATGTACAAGCTCCCTTTGGTTATTCATAGTATTTGGCACTTTTTGATTTGGTTCCAGTCCACCGCCCACTTAATCCTAACCTTCCACCCTTCAAGGTCTTCCCAGCTGGCAGTTTTGCACCCTGGCAAAGTTTTCAGTGTATATCAGATCGCAGATGGCAGCGTTATTATCATAGTTCATTTCGGCCACCTTGAACTCTGGATTAATGGCTATCTTGAGAACATACGAGCCGGGACTCAGGTCTGTTACATCCACCCATTGGCAGTCCAGATTGTAGAGATACACGTCCGAGCAGTTAATGGATATGCCTGTAATTATGGGTTTTGAAATAAATACGCAAATGTATCGTGTCATTAATTTTACCCTGATCTCCGTAATTGGCACAACTGTATTTCTTCGAAACTCCAGGCAGGCAATTGCTGTCCTCCAGGCAAAAGGAGGCCTTGTGTCCTTGGGCCACTTTATGTCCTCGCAAATCGAAGATGTCAAAGGTAGCAAAAACCTCCATGCTGTGGAAGTGCCTGAGAGAAAAAAATATTTCCTTTTTCAATTCACTCAATGTACAATCGGATTTATCCTTATATTAGTACAAAATATTAAAAAAAAAACAAAAAACCCCAAGCACGGCAATTCATTGTTACAGTTTTAAATTTTACTAAACTTAAAATCGACAAACAAATACAGATTAAATATTTTTAATGTGCGTATTGGTCTAGATTAACCAAAAATCATTCCTTAAAATGTAGTTTGTATTATACTTCTTTGTGAAAAGTCAGCATAGTATTATAGTAAATATTATTTGTTTAGAACAAATTTGAACAATTTTGTTTTTGAATACGTGGGTTTTACCTATAAAAAACTTTTTGCTTGCTGTTCTTGTTATTTAAGTTATTGATCAAATAGTTTTATGATAAAATGCTGAAACTATTATTTTAAAAGTAAAACCGAATATTTATAATTTTAAAATGATTTGGATAACAACGTTTTTTTTCTGTGTACTTACATATGGCACATGTGCCACTCCCACTGGCTCTTCTCCTTAAATGGCCGGAAATCGGCGTTGCCCGCGTTGATGGCAGCTGCTGTGAACTTGAGCAGCCGCCTAGATCGGTACCGCCAGTGGGGATCATCCCGCTGGATTTGATACGCCTCGTTGGCCACACAGTTCTCCTCCATGGCGCACTGCATCAGCAGCATGGGTCGGTCCTCCAGATGGGCTGTCTGCTCGATTTCCAGGTAGTCCATCACCAGATCGGGGGCGAAATAGTCACAGATCACGGCGGCCACGTGTTGCCGGTTGCCATGACAGCTGACTATCCCCTGACTGGCATCGTGATGCAGGCAGTCGGCCAGTTCCGTTTCGTTGCCATAGCATTCGCTGCCACTCAGCACGGGTCTTGATACATTGGAGCCGCCGAAGAAGTCCGTTTGGAAGGCCTCACTGGCGTAGCCCAAGCCGAGTTGTCGACACACGACATTGGCCTCCAAAAGCGACCAGCCATCGGCGCACACACTGCCCCATCGACCGCCATCCAAGCTGACCTCCACTCGGCCCTCAATTCTAGACCTGCCGCCACGCAATCTCACATATAAACGGGAACGTGATCGAATTGGATACTTGGGCAGGTCTTCATCCCTGAGGATGGGCGATGGTGCAGGGATCTGGGCATTTTCCGGCGGATAGCACACCACGCCAGCCGCCTCCCCGGGCTCACAATCGTTCTCGCCCCATCCCTCGAAATGGCAATTCACTAGCTCCTGCTCGTGACCTTCGCAGAAGAGGTTGTCCATCCAGAAGCGACGACGAGCGGGTCCAAAGAAGCCGCTTCTGGTGTACCTCCTCATTCCGGGGAAACCCAGCTGTCGGCACACAATGTCACCTTCAACGGCATCCCACTCGTCATCGCAAACAGCTCCCCATTTGCCATTGTGCAGGACCTCAATGTTGCCTGAAAGGATAATTTGAAAATAATAAATTATTTGGAATAAAAAAACTATTGCCAATTCCAAGGTAAATACAAAAATCTTCAAAACACTTAATGAGATTTTTACGGTTTTGGAGTGTATTCATACTTTTTTGAGTTCACAATTTGTAAGCCAATTTTTTCAAAAACAATGGCTTATTCCTTTTACATCTTGCTCCTTAGCTACAATATTTTTAAGCTTGTAAACATAAAATTTGTATTGCATTAAAAAATGAAGCTGTTTTTAAATCAGATCTACTCAAAATCTTTATGTCGCTATAGTATCCAAACACGAGCTGAACCAGTGGATGATGAGTCTTTCAGAAACGGAAATCCAAATTCATGTACAAGCAATTAATTTAGCCAATAGAAAATAAAGATAGACATCAAAAAAGGGAATAATAAATATAAAAGGTGTAGAATTTTAGAAAATGTAACCAAAGGAAAATAATGATTATTTTTTATTGTACCCATCTTTTTGGGTGTTAACATGAATACAAATAAATTTTGTGTCCATGTCCTTTGTCTAGGAGTAGTTGAATAGGTTAATTCTTACCTTCGTATTCGTTATCTCCGCCCACCAGTCGAATGGCTCCCTCCTCCTTGTTGAGGACCTTTATGTACCTGTGCACCAATCTCTGGCGCTCCAGGCGAGCGTCCTCCAAGGATCGGTGTTGCACCACGGCATCGGCCAGGTGGAAGGCGAGTACAGCCAGGCACAAGAGTTTGGGCCCCATCTTAAGGTCCTTTCGATCTTCGACTGCGCACATTTACCCGCCTCGGCGTTCGCACGAAAACTGAAGCTCAACGCAAATATCTGAACGCGAACAGAATCATTTAACTATGAACTGGCCAGATACAGAGATACAAAGATACATAGATAGACGGTTAGATGGGTACGTAGGTAGGTGGCTTGTTAGGTACATATTCAGATATCAGATGCGGTTCAGAAGCTCGCTCAACTGACGTCATTGGGCGCCCGACGAGGGCGGAGATCGAGAGTTAAGTCTGAAATCCCAAAGCCGAGTGTACAGAGCGCGGAGAGCACCGAGCACAGATCTCGGCTATATCCACTAGCGATTCCAAATCCAAAGCTGAATCTATTTCCCGCACGTATGCATGTCACTTAATGAGATTTTCATTTTGAGGCAACACTGACATTGCTGCTGTTCAAGCGAATTGGCAAATGGTAAACTGGAAAAAATGTATAGCTATAACAAGAACGCAATTCATGTCTACTTTTCAGCTGAAAGAAAATAATGAAAAGTATAATAGTTTTATATAATTAATTGTATACATTAGATACATAAATATATTTTGAATTAAAGATCAAAATTTAACGTTTTATTTAAACCAAAGTACAAACACTTATTTACATAACATATGTACTAAACAGTTTCAAAGTAAACCATTTAAGTAGGAATAATAAAAATAACAATTTAAAAAATGTGTCCATCAAAATTCTCCCAGTGCATGTCGAAGGCCAAACAAATGTTGCTCTATAAATAAATGCGAAAAGGAAGCACTAACCCATCTAGTTTATCACACAACAAAAAAACCATTATAAAATATTTCTCACACCCATTACAAACATTTAATGAGAGCTTTGTTTGAACCCTGAGCTCACCTCCTCCTCCCAGCCACAAAATAATGCATTGCCAAATCCAAAAATGGGAATGAAAATATGGAAACGAAGCCATAATTTCAAATCTGAGTGAACACGACCCACATATTAATGTAAATCTGCTGTTCGGAATATAACTACATATGGTACGAGTATCTGGCTTTGGGTGAGCAAACCGGCAAAATCATCGTCATCGTGGGGAAGCCCATTAGTTTTGGCATGCAGCCATTTGAAACATTGCATGCAACATCATGGCCAACATGACATTGACACTGAAACCATCGCAACGGAAAAACAAACCAAAGCTTCCATACAAAGGAAAACTAAAAGCTAAGCGGTAATGCCGTTTACCCAGTTTTATTTTGGGGGAGTATAATCGGTGGATATGGGAGGCTCATTAGCAAAAGTGCCAGCAGCATAATCGTAATTGGAAATCAAGCTCGATTGGGTCAGCTTTATATGAGGATGGAGGGGGAACTGAAACCCATTGAAGCGTGCATCCATACATTTGCTGGATAGATTTTCAAGATCAATGTAGATCACAAGCCGGCAATTGTTTACTCAACCCGATGGATGAATTACAGCTTGTTGTTATTGATCGCATAGGGTAGAATCGTTGAGGAACATGAGCCAATTCACAACAACAATTAAAAAATGTGTTACCACAATAAAACTGATTTTAAAAAATAATTAATCTACACTTTTGATGTTCTTAAAAAAGCACTTCATTTCGTTTATATATAGACGTGTTAAACATTTATAACATAGTTGTGCTATAACTATGTAGCCCATTAATTGCCTAACTACCAAAAAAAACCCATTTCTTTCAATATTCACAAATACAATTCTATAACCAACTCGAACGCATAACTATGCCAGAGCAAATATGTAAGTAATTGATAAGGTCCAACATGTATAGTATATCTATGTAAATATTCATGGGACTGCCTGCACGAAGCGATCATAAATATTGGCCAGAGAAATTAATTGGATAAACGTTTTACGATATTGAAATATGATGGGCAGGGAGAAAGGGAGCATCTCGCTACTTGGCCATTCGAAAAATTCCCACACAATTCAAAGGGGGCTAAATTTTATGAGTGCGTAAATTCCATTCGGATGGCCGCAAGGGCTAAAAGGGCATAGAGGACATGCCGCAATCCTGGCGCAACGTCATGCACCAAGGTAATAAAATTCGATAGAAAATCGTGTAATAAAATCATTACACACAAGAACCAGAAGCAGGACAATGTCTGCCCTCTGTTTCTGGCTGGCATTCTCTGCCAATCCGGCACTAAAATCAAACGGGTCCTGCAACACCGCAGGCGTCTGACCAATCTGCAGCACCTCCGCCGACTCCTGATCCTTTGGCTCCACCTCAGCTTCAGCTTCAGCTCCTCCGGGGATATAAAAAGCAAGCGGCAACGTGAGGCGACAAGTCCAAAGCTCCGAGGAGCCTCCTTTGGCCAACAATAAAATGAGGGAATCGAGGAGGAGATGAACAAGAAGTAACGACAAAGTGGAAACCAGCGGGAAAATAATTTGTGTGGGAGTTGCCCAGCCCAGGGGTATGATTCCTTGGAAGGAGGCACTAGGCACTGGGCACCAGGCACTAGGCACCAGGCCCAGAACGGATAAAAAGATAAAAAATGGTTAAGGGATATTGAAAGGCGGTAAATTGCTTTATTACTTAAGTGAGCCAGAGATGATTAGGTTCGCGTTGGCCGCAGTTGCTGCAGTTTGCCTTGCGGGGACTCATTAAAACGGAGTTCCTGCATCGGACTTGGGAAATGGAAAATGGAAAATGAGAAAGGAAAATGGATAATAATAAAAAAACAGGGCTTTAAGTGGGTGTAAACAAAACCTAACTTGTAATAATATGGTAACATAGCAGGATTCTTTTTGGTGCCCATAAACTTCATCAAAATCTGGAAATATATTTTTTATATTAAACCCAGAGAAAAACACCATAGTAAAATTAAACATTAAAATATTTTAATGTAACAATGTTTTCCAAATTATAAAGTTACTTATAATAAACTTAAAACATGTTGATGTAATTATTAACATATTTATTTGGTCAATCCAATAGAAAAATTGGGCACATTTAAGACACTTTTTAAAATATTTTAAATTTATTTAATATATATTTTAATGCTTATAAAAATTATTATTTTCTTTTCTTGGTAAACTATATATATAATTTCTAAAATCTTTATTAATTGAGATGGTCAAAAGCTTCTTCTCCCCCTATAACAATCAGAAGCACATAACTTAATTTAGAGCAAAGACCAGCCAAGACATTAAATCTTTTCATAATGATATCATACAGTCGTAACACATATAGCGAGGCTCATTTGGACATTAATAAAATTGGATGACGCGCTGACAGCATAAATGTCACCGAAAATGCTATTAAAACTAAATTATAGCCGGCATAACCATGATTCATGAGCGGCGAGACCTCAAGTGCCTCACCCTTTGCCTGCTGCCTGCGAAAAGAAATCGTAAAAAATATAAAATGCCAAATTTGTAGCTAGCTTATGGCAAAAAAAGATTATTAATTCTTAATAAGAAGGCAGAGAATGCAAAGAGGGCAATGAAAACTGGAAACAAAAACAGAAATTGTATAAAAAATGTAGCAAGTGGGGCGTGTGTCTATGGCTGCCTTGAAAATGTGCCAAAAACGCCAAAAAAATCTAGAAACGAAAACAAGCCGAAGAAAAAAAGTTCACAATCAGTGAATGCCCTGGCTTGAATACCCTTTTTTATGGGAATGCCATAGAATTCTCTTTTTTTTTTTGGTTCGGGCACGAAACGAAACCAAACAGAAATAATAAAATTAAAATGCGCCTTTTGCTTTGGCTCGATGCCTCGAACTCAGTCAGTTGGACACAAAAAGTCCGAGGCAATAAAAATAATAATGAAATCAAAGGAATAAAAACAACAGAGACAGTTACAAAGACTTACAATGGGGCCAGACACGATGGATGGGCTAATAGGAGGGGCAGCTGGTAAAATTTAAGTCGAAGGACATTGGGAAAATTGTTCTTCAGTTCTCGCTGGGAATCATAATGAGCTTTTCGAACCATTTTCGTTAGCTGAATTAGAAATTATTTCATTGCTGTCTGGAAACCTCAAAGGAGAATGCCTCTGAATGTTTAAGAACAGAAATGCCTTTAAAGTTATAAAGTAAATCTACTTTTCAACTTCCTTATGCTAAAGCCGTGACCAGCAGACATTTTTTTTTACAAATATTAAAACTTTCCTGCATTGTAAAAATGATTTATTGAAGCGTTCAAATTCGATGGAACTTCCTGGCAAGCTGACGACAGTTTATTTCCATTGAATGACATTGGTAGCATGCACTCAGTATCACAGCGAACGTGTTTTGATATATCGTATTTAAATAACAGGTGGCTTTTCCGGTCTTCATTTTTGATTTCCCTCTGTTTTTTTTTTCTTTACTTTATATTTTTCATGTGAAGCTTAAAAGAATTTTTCATCATTCCTTTAGCCACCTTTAATGAATATTTTAATGTTAATTTGTATTTATTAATATATTTTTTTAGTCATGCTTACAGCAAAGTTTAATAAAGCTTTCTGACTTCTGACACGACGAGACCTAAAAGCAAATACAATTTCTTGTATGCATATTGTGTAAGCCAGAAATCCTTACTCGACCCTCACAACAAGTAGCTATATTTTATTTTACTTTATTTTAATTTCGTCTTTGCCTTTTCGAAGGCTCACCCTGAGGCACTGTCTTCGCCAAGGATTTGCGACAAAACTTTTCGCTTACTCTGCCTTCTGTCTACTCAGACAACGTGTGCAAATATTTATTCTGGGATTCTTGTGAAGCTGAAAATACGAACAGATAATTCCGCTAGACAGCAAGAAAATATTTTCATAAAAACCAACTTACGTCGAGAGTCAACACAATTGAGTTTTAAATGTGCACATGGAAATCAATTAATTTTTTTGTCCCAGTTGCCGCTAATTGAATTGGCCATATCGCAATATAGACTAGTGAAATAATAAATAAATCCAGTACTCCATTGTTCGGAAGAGAGGCAGTGAAAAATGGAGCGAGCCACATGTTCCATATCATGGAATTTGTCCCCGTGCCGACTAAATGAATTATGTAACATGTCTAGCCATTTAGTGCCATAATTCAAAGCAATCTATGCCAGCCCAGACAACATAGCGCCCATCACTGGGTCTCCTCCAATAAATGGGGGCGTGGCAGGGCTTTATGGGAGAACCTAAATTGCACGCAGTCCAGACAAATTGCATTTGCATAGCGTAATTGGAAAATGTCGCGTACGAAAAAAAATGATTGAAAAACTATAATTTGTATGGGCGGCTTATGAATGCTGGAATAAAAGACATATCTGAATGGGATCAAAAGAATAATAATAATTTGTACTAATTTTATTTCACCGATAGAGTTTAAATAATATCGGCAAACCAACAATTTGGTGGGAGAGAATAGCAAAAACAAAACTACAACTTTGTTTTTTAAATTATTAAGTAAATTTTATGAAAGTAATAACTAATTTAATGTTGTATTGCATTTTATAAAATTTGTTTTATTTAAAAAAAAATAATCAGTTACAAGAGAATTAAAAAGAATATATTTTATTTTCCATTATTCGCATCCATATTTCTAGAAATGAGATACTAAAATGTATCTTCAATCAAATGTATCTTTGTTCAAAATGTACTCATAGGTGTATTGGAGCAGTTGTCCAGAAAATTCCCTTATATGCTTCGACTTTAGTATCATTATGTAAATTTTATTTGGCTAACGTCAAGAGCACCCACAAATAATTTTAAAAAATTAGTTGCAAATTAAAACCCAAACCGTTTAGTCCATTGTTTGTGAGAGTGAAATCCGAAGCTCCAAGCGAAAGATGCCAGTGGCAGTGCGTCTTGTGGAGGCCTTGACCCTGATCACCATTATGGGTCTGATCACATGCATTGGTCTAAGTGTGATTTTGGCGCAAAAAACCCTTAGTATTACAATAACGTTTTTGGAGGTAAGCTTTAGAACTTGCTGTCTTTAGTATTACAATTTTAAAACTGGGAATTTTGATAGCCCGCTGCAAATATTGCCAATATGGCCCTGATTTTGACTGAGAAAGTGCTGGTGTCTTCTCTGCTCTGTGTTTTGGGTCTGACCAATGTTGTGGCAAATGCCCTCCATGCGGCTGGAATCGCCTAAAGAACGCTTACTTTTTGGATGATTTATTTTCCCCCACTAACTTTCGGTTTTCTGATCAATGTTCGACTGTTGTATGCCTCAAAATTCTCAATATACGTTTTAATATGCCATTAGTGTCCGTCAGCTTTCGGTTTTGGGAAGGGGGATGCATGGCAATTCAAACGCGGCACCGCTCACTAATATTCAATCAAACAATTTCACGGCCCAATAAACTTTTCTAACCTGCGGCTGGTCAAAACAAGAGCGAAAAAAAAAAATAAAATGAAAACAAAATAAACCAGAACTCTGCTCAATTGCAGCAAATTTGCGCCTGGCCAAAAGAAATTGTGAGAGAAAAAAATATTTCTACCACAAAAGCCAATATAGCTGCAAAAATTTAAACGACGCTCGAGGATGAATATAATTTTTGGTGCCTTTTTAATACGCTTCGAGAGGGTATGACAACCATGATGTTTAGAAGTGAGACTTGGTAAGAGTACCCAGAAAAAAGAGTGACTAAATTTTTTTTTTTATTAATTAAAGAAGTTTATAAATGTAGCCAGAAAAAAGAGTACCAATTTTTGTACCAATTAAAGGAGTTTATAAATGTATAACTTAATAACTTTGTTAGGGTATGAAATAATTCGCTGTCAGGTGGCTTCCAACATCTCGCCTTTTTTAACTTTTAGCTGCCTTTAAAGTATTAGCACCTTTTGCAAGCTGCTCATTCTGTTATTTAGTTATTTATCAATGTTCTGGCCCTGGTCTGGGCTTGGTATAATCCCAATGGGACAGGCACGCACGGCAGACCAAATACCAAAAACCCCCCGCCAGACTCGTCTGAAATCGAGTGTAGGTGTCTGCGGTTGTTGCTGTTTGCATGAGCATTTTTTGATTTAGTGGCAATTTCGTGTAGCAAAAATTGCAAAGTGCCCGGAGGGTAGACTTGAAAACAAGCAGATTACAGGCGGAAATTGAGGCAAGAGTGAGTGGAGGAGCTAACAAGCCGAAAACTGGAACAATAAGCAGGCGATATGCGGTAAAACACCTCAGAGAAATCGGCATGTAAGTGGTGATCGCTGGGACCAGATCATTCATTATCCTTCACCAAAAGGCCATGCCCACGGGGTACACAGATTAGTCCATGGCTGCCCATTCTCAGATATATCTTCCGTTTTATGGCCAGACAATGGAAATTGTAAATTTGCGTTGCACCTATTGTTAACACCTCTCGACATCACCTCGATTAGAAGCTGGTCAAAAAACGGTGAATGCTATATTGAAAAATTAGAGTAAACACAAGTTTATTTTTCAAATTTTAAGTCATAAAATTAATTAAATAAAAATAAAAGATTTAAATAATTTGTAATAAATACAATATACAGATTTACACAACAATAGGTGCTCTTAACTGGAATCTATTTGATCATTCGAATTAGCTGTTAATGCTGATTAAACATATACGAATACCATTCTCTATGCTTTGATTCGCTTTAGGCTGAAATTGTCGAATTTATTTTTAAATTTTTGTGAATTCAAAATAAGGTAAGCGCAGTATTATGAGCTATTCAATAATTTTTAGTACTTTTATTTAAGTATAAACACTCATGAAGGCTCAAAGTCAAGACCTGAAAAAATTACCTAATAAAGCAATTGCTCCGAAAGTATTAACTTGATCTATCTGAAATGTTCGTGGTTCTAGCCATATCAGACTAATTTAAATAGAGAAAACCCATTTAGTCCCCTAATAAAACCGTTGGATAGTTTACATTTTAGTGGCCAAAAGCCTTTATTAGCGATGCATTTTTTGCGGAGAGTAAGTCATCGACTTAAACCAACTTGTTGGCCTCCTCAACCTCGGGATCAGCTTCTGCCGACCCATCGGCAGTGGTGTTCTCCTGTTCTCCCTGCTCGGTGGTGTTCATGGGGGAAACGGGTTCTGCGGCACCTTCTGGCTGGGAACAGGAACAGGCATCCCTGGTATTCTCCGCAATCCAATCGTTGAAGTTGCTCACTCGTGTGTAGACACCCGGGGCATTTGGCTTGGCACATCCTTCGCCCCAGGACACAATGCCCGCCAGGTGGTAAGCCTCTCCAGATCCATGGACATGCATGGGGCCACCGCTGTCACCCTGACAAGAATCCTTGCCACCCTGCTCCACATAACCAGCGCAAATCATGTTGTCGGTGATCTTGGACTCGCCATAGTTGCTATTGCGACACTCCTCCTGGCTGAGAATGGGTACCTCCACTTCTTGTAGGGTATCCGAAATGGGACCCCCTTCACTGAGAGCTCCCCATCCGGTGACCACGGCTGTCTGACCCGCATAAGTCTCGCTGGGAATGGGTAGACAGACGGGGTGCATATCTATGCCAAGACGAACGGGCTCGTTGAACCGAATCAGGGCAATGTCACTATCGAAGTTCCTGGTGCTGTAACTCGGATGAATGAGCACCCTGGCCACCCGGCGATCCACGATCTTCACATTGCTATCCTGACGATTGTGCTCCAGCAAGCGAACGGTGATCAATCGGTGGTAGAAGCCATTCACACAATGGGCAGCGGTTAGGGCGTATTGATCGTTAACCAAAGAGGCGCCGCAGTAGAAATTACCGAACCACATGAGCATTATCATCCAGGGATACTCATGGACCTCCGTCTCCTGACCTCCGACGATCCTATGACGGGTATTAATATTGCCGCAGGAGCATTCGGCACACTCCCTCTTGGCCGGAGAACTCCACTCCGAAGGAACCTCGGGCCCCAGAATCGACTGGATCCAATCCAGAAAGCTACTCTGCCTGAGTTGAGCCAGAGAGTCCAAAATCTTCTCTGGCTCGGAGGCGGAACGCAAAGAGGGCGTGGCCCAGGCCAAATCGCCCAGCGCTATTGCAGCAATAAGCAGAAGATACAAATTACACATGGTGAACTAACCTGGCCAACTGGCAATTGCCAACTAACCAAATGCATCCTGGCCACAACCGGCAAGAAGTGGAACCGATGTTAGCCAGAACTCCCAGCCAGCCGAAGAACAGGCTAGACCAGAATCCCCAGAAGAAACCGGCTCCCCAGAAAGGTTAGCGCACTTTGTGGAAACTTTTCTTTTAATCAATAAATATAAAACAGCTTGAGAATAGGATCTTCGGCTAGGCCGAAGTTGGCATACTCTTGCAAAAGGCTCAGAAACACTTTACTGTATTACTTAAGAGGTCTGAGACATATACCCCTAGAATGTGCAAAGTTATTTTCAGCGAAAACAGTTTGATTCTTGGGATAATGCATATATAATTCGGGAAATAATAAGCTTTTTTGTAATGAAAACTTATCTTTCAATCTATGCTATTGCACTTTGGAATTTAGAAGATATATAATTGAGAACATATAAGAGCAAATCTTAAAGGAACTTTTTGTAATAAATGTAACTAAATGTATTATTTTTTAGCCCAAGCCAAAATAGTTGTTTTAATGGTTTCAACTTACACCGAGACTTTAAGAAATATCACATTGAATGAGAGATATGAAATCAGGATCTAAAGAAAATTAAGACGTTGCTAAAGTTCCCATAAAATTCGCACTTATTCTCTGTGATTTGTTACCTACCCAGCAAGAGTATTCAACTATTAAAAGATACAGAAATAGCTGGAGTGTCGCTACTTGATCTTTTTGGTCTCCTGCTGGCAAAGACAAGCCTGTTTGGTGAGGTTCTTGATCCAGGTTCCATAGCGATTGACTCTGGCATAGACACCAGGATAACCGGCCTTAGCACAACCCTCGCCCCACGAAACCACGCCGGCGATTTGATGCTCTCGCGTTCCACTTGCCACAATGTGCAAAGGACCTCCGCTGTCGCCCTGACAAGAGTCCTTGCCGCCCTCGTCGTAACCGCCACATAACATATTATCCGTGATCTTGTTCCCATAGCGACTCTTCCTGCACTCATCTTGCGATAAAATCGGCACTTGAACCTCCTGCAAGAGAGTGATATATGGAAAATAGATTGATTTAAAATTAAATTTAATTAAGTAAATTGTTAAGTTTACTTTCTCAAACAATGTATTTTTAAATTTAGTTGTTTATAACAGGTCAAACTTATAGTCCGTTCTTATTTATTAGTTTCCTAACCTAAAATGTATTATACTGTTTTAACTTGTTTAATCCCACGTATACTTTCCGTTTTAAAATCATAATCACCTTTTTGAAGATTTGAGAAATAAATTAACACTTTTTTTAGTGAGAGCTAAATTTCTTGATATTAAAAAGTCTTTTTTAACATCTCGAGCATAAACAAAAATGTCTTAAGCTCAAGTAGCTGGCCTATAGCCCTATTTAATTTTAAAAGTAATGCTTTCCTAAAAACATATGACAGGCAATTTTCATTTCATTACTCCTTAAATTGAGCAAGTTCTTTCCAATATCTATACATTTAGTTTGCTGAGCGTGAGATATTCCCAAAAAATGACTACCAATTTAGTAGCTAAGTGAAACTTAAATTAATTTTAAGCTGATTACTAAGAGCTATGCAACCTGTGACTTGCTTATGATTTAGTTTTAGCTCAAAACATATTTTTCTGATTTTCGACCCTCTCCATTTCAAGTAGTCAATTTGTAAAACAAAAAAATAAGTACATTTTACAGGAATAATCATCATGCTGCGGCCCCACTTGTGCCTCGATGATTACAAAAAGTATGGCCGGACCCTAATGTGTTGTCTTCAATTAAAAATTTATCTTTATACAAGCTTTATAATTATTTAAAATGTAAATGAGTACATCAAATTTTGTATGTTAATATAACTAATTTTGAAACTAACTTTTTGCGCTAGTGTATCACCTTGGACTTACCTGAAGTGTATCGGATGTGGGTCCGCCAACTTTGAGTGCTCCCCAACCAGTGACTATCCCATGTTCGCCCTTGAAACTCCTGCCCGGCGTTGGCATACAGACGGGATGCAGTATCTCGTTGAACTCCACCGGCTCGTCCAACTTGATGATGGCAATATCGTTGTCGTAGTTCCGGGCATTGTACTTGGGATGCGTGATCACCTCGGCCACCTTGCGGTCGATCTTTTGCATGTGCGACATCTTGCGGTCGTGTTCGAGCAGTCTCACCGAAATTCTTTCCTTCCGGAATCCGTAGACGCAATGCGAGGCAGTTAAAAGGAACTGATCGTTCAGCAAGGAGGCGGCGCAGTAGAACCTTCCGCCGTACAGCAACATGGCCACCCAGGGATACTGATGGACCTCCGTTTCCTGACCGCCCACGATTCTCTTCTGTATATTGGCTATTCCGCAGAGGCAGTCACTGCAATTCCTCGGCGGATTCAGAGTGGGTGGTGCCGGGGTGGTGGCCCTCCTCGTGGTGGTGGTGCTCGACGACGGAGCCGGCGTGGTGGTTGAGGTGGTGGAGGAGGCCTCCGGCATCGTGGAACTACTGCTCAAGGTGGCCAGAGTGGCATTCTCCGAGTCAGAGCTTCCGGGACGTTGTGGCAGAAGCGACAGAACCCACTGGATGAAGGTGTTCTGGGATTGTTTCAGCAGCGGATTTGCTGCCGGCTGAGTTGCGGCCTGATCCTGGGCTGCAGCCTGATGGAGGCCGCAGCTTAAAGCCAGGCAGATCAGCAGACACAACCAGGCTCGACTCATTTCTCTAGACTTTTTCCGGCTTTCTCCACAGCGACACCACCGACTCGCGTGGCTCTCGGCAAACTGATCGGCCAGCCGCTTGGCCAGCATTTGAAAGCGGCATTTCACCCAAAAAAAAGTGGTTCTGGCCGGTGGCACGTCCACTTTGCCAATCCAATCCACACAGAAAAAAACAGTGATTTATTTGTTACAACCATGCATATAAATATTAAACCTATCTCATGTTTGAGAAAATAAGCTTTAATTATTCAATTTTCAGGGGCAAGTATGGAATATTAAATGAGGTCAAATTGGTTTTGTTAACCCATTTCTTTTTAAAGAATGACTTCAATCGAAAAGAAAAGACCTAAATCAAATGGAAGAATCTATATTGCCAAAAATTTTGCATTAAATTTATTCGTTGTTTTCAAAAAGTATGACTAGTAAATACTCTATTTTTTCCTTAAGAAGAATCTAGTTTTGATTGACTTACGTTACAAAAGTAAATTGCTTTAAATAATTATCTAAGTAATTTTCTTATTATTAATGTCTTTTTGGTGAATTCTGTACTAGTTTGGTCAGCATTTTTTATATAAATAAATTGTATAATCAATCTTATTAAGAAGGTTCACCCATTTTTAGCACAATTTTCTCTCTGTGCACCGTCGCACTCCCGTTTTAATTTGCATTTGTATTCTGCGCATGCGTGGGCGCCTCAGGGCATCCACACTATCCACCGCTTGACCATGATACTTCACTCGGTTGGCTGGCAAGCAAAACAAAACAATATCGGAGCCACTCATCCACGAAAGAAGAGTGTGTTTGTTGCCTTTTTTTGCGCCACTGAAGTAGCGAAAGTTTTTTTCTCGCTTCAATACTTATTGAAATGAATTTTTTGCTCCGTTTCTACACAATCGATCGCTCGACGACGCATCGTAATTTTACTTTCTTTTGATTTATATTATTGGGGCTTTTTTTTTGGCGGTTTGTGGGCCGATTGGTGCCGTTTGTGTGTCGACAGCTATAACAGCTGACAATAACAACAGCAACAATGCCGGTGACAACAATAAATCTGTGGCACTGTTTACATTTACACCGTTTACGTGGTTGGCTTTGCCAATTCGGTCGACTCATGGTCTTTGGGACAGCGTGTTTATATAGGGTGATAAGTTCAATAAAAATAATAACATACGGAATATTGATTAAAGTTTTAACTTTTTTCATATTTAAAGAACATTCATTTATTGTGTATTTAAAGTCATACTTCTAGAAACTCGAATCTAGATGATGATTTCCTTCTAATATAATTTCTTTTTTCAGACATTCACATCTATAAAAATAAAAACAATTTCGGAAGCCAGAAATAATCAATATATTTACAGTTGACAAGTATTTTGACTGCATTAGATTTACTTCATAGCCCCTATTTTTGATTTGTTAGGAAAATAAAAATAAAAATTTTAACACAGTTAAACCTTTTTTTTGTTAGTCCATAATTTAGTACTTTTAATACTTTTTTATTTAATATTAAGAAACTTATTTTTAGAACTCCTGGTAGATCTTATCGAACTTGATTTCAGTCGAAGTCACATTTTCAGCTACCCAAAGAAAACAAAGCCAGCGAACTGCAATCGTAAAAAAAAACGAAAATGGCCTCACCAAAGACATAAAGCTGTCAGGCTGGGCTTCCCTTGGAACTGAGACAGACTAACGTTGCAGTCAAATTGTGGCATCCGCACGTGTCCATCCCAGTCGTGAGTCATATTGGTCATAGGCTTAAGTAGCCACATCCCACTGGATCATTAAAAACAACTTGTAAGGTTGAAGAGGCGGCGCCGTTGCGCCTGCGCCATTCGGCTGGCCGGCAATTGATGGATGGTCGAGGGCCTGCCCTGAATAAGGGAAACACGGTGGAGGGCATGGGGGAGTCAGGAGTTGGAAGAGTCATTAGTATGCGCACACATAACACTTGGCATATTAATTGTCCGCGTAACGTTGGAGGCAGATGCAGCTCGAGTGGGGTTACATCGAGTTGCAGTTGAGTTTGGATGTGGGCTTGCAGATGATGATGATGATGACGAACTAATGTCAGCTCGTCGGACTCTGGGCACTAGAGATGCAAAGGTCTTTTTTAAACATATACAATTCTTCACAATTTTATGTACTTTTGCCTTAGGTTATAATTGAACAGGGTCCAAAATTATTGTTTTTTGAGAATTTAATTTTTTAAGCATCCAACTTGTTTATGAACTTTGTTTATAAATTATCTTATTTACACTAGGAGGGCCAGCGTAAATATAGAGTTTTATTTGTTTACCAATTTGGCAAATTGCTAGACACTTTTTGTACAAATACAAACTTTTGGTTGTCAAAACCATAGTAGACTTTTAAAAATAAATGTCGAATTGTTTTTGTCGTCTCCATTTAGTTTTTTACCTAGATGGAAAACCCTCCTACAATTTTCGAACATTTCATTTTATCAAATTTAAATAAATTTCTAAAACAATTAAATTGTCTAGAGGCTTATATTTGCTTTTTTTTAGTAACATTTAAAAAAAATAACTTTTTTTTAATGATGGACAAAAAAAATATGTTGAAAGTAAAAACATAATTTAAATATGAAGAGAACAATATAATACATAGTTATAAAGACATACAAAAATTAAACATTTGATGTTACTTTCCATTTACCTGTTAATTGAAGAACCTTTAGATAATACGTAATGGAATACTGAATTAATTTAAACTCATCCATGGAAACAAAAATAAGTTGAAAATATTCCTACTTTCCACAGACTTTTAATTGAATTCCTCTGCGTGTTTTGTATGTTGATTTTTCGCTTTTATTTTAATAGATCGTTAGCATCACTGGTGGGCAGCCATCAAAGGCAGAGTCAGATCCATTGCCCAACCGCAGTGCACGCAGTTAAAACAAAGTGCCATTTGCATAATGCCCGGCTAGACAAAACCGAATGAAAAATACGGAAAAAAGCCCGAACAAGTTGCATGTGTGAGCACATCTATGTTAAATGGGAGTGGGGTTATTTACGAGCCTGAGGAAGGGACCTGCACTTGGCGACGCAATTATGCAAGGCCCACTCCGGAAAACGTGACCACCAACAGAGTGACTCTGCGACTGATTGTCGGGACCCACCTGTCCCCATCCTGAAGACCTGGCTCTGGCAGATTGGCTCTGTTCAACACGATGGCAAAATATGTTAATTGGCATTGTAATATGCACATTAGATGTTGCCAACTACTAAGCGCTCATTAAACAAGCCCAAGCTCATGCTTGGGCAATTACTGCCGGCCTTTACATGGCGAAAAGTTGGCAAGAAGGGGCGACAAGTGATAAATTGAGGGAATATGAATCGATTATGAAACCAGATGGCCGGCCCCATGTTTGCTGTATAAAAAGTGATTATGATGAGCCAATTAATCAGAAAGAGATGTTGAGTTAAAAAAAAAACGTTAAAAAACTGCATAGAAAATGTAACAAATAAACTTTAGTGATTATCAAAAAAATAATAAAAAAATAAAAATAATCAAAAACTAAAATAAATAATAAACAGTACATATGATTTTTATTTTTATCAAAATAATGAAACTACTTCTTCTGTTTGCAGAGTTTTACCGATATTTTTTCATAAACATGTAAAACAACTCTAGAAATACCAACTTAGCAAAAATAAAAAAAATAATAAATTACACCCTTAGCGTTATATAAAATCATATTAAACGATTTTTTTATTTTTTTTATAAAAAATAATGATTTATTTGATTTTTAATTTTTTTTTTCATTAATTATCATTATTTCTGAACAAAGAAAATAAAACTTAAAAATAATCATTATGTTGTAATTTTTCGAACAAAGCTTTTTGTTATTGCGGTCCCTGATTATTACATCGATGAAGTGCCATTGAATTAGAATTTTCTTTCCTTAAGCAGGCTTTGTACTAGTGCTCAACATCTGTCAAATACCTTGTTGTACCTACTGAACCCCAAAATCCTCAGTTAGCCTTCAACCTTCCAGAACACCAGATCGAAATGGGATAGTTGTATATTTTTTGTCTCCGGTTTCGTATCTTGGTGTAGGTAAAATTCCAAATTGTTGGTCGTGTTTTGGTCTGATCGGACAGGTGAGTAATAATATAAGAGTAAGGACTCGGTAATGAAATCTGGATTGCAGTACTCTTTTGCCAATGTCCTCTGAAGACAGAGCTGCGGAAATTTTTACGCCTGCGTCTGCCCCAACGGAAACAGTCGAAAATACTGCCAGAAAAACCGTCAGCAAATTAAGAGGAACGCATAAAACTGTCCATGTATAAATTCCTATTTAAAAGATGGTCGCGAAAGAAAACGTCCTCAAGGAATCCTTCCGGGACGTGCAATTCGTGGATTTCCATCGCCATGGTTCCTTGAGCGCGTCAAAGAAGTCCTGACCATCGCAAATTTTGGATTTTATTTACTCGGATTCCCAAATGCTTAGATTCTCAAGTACACGAAATCCGAGATACACGGAATCCCAAATACACGGATTCCCAAATACACGGATTCCCAAATACACGGATTCCCAAATACACGGATTCCCAAATACACGGATTCCCAAATACCCGGATTTCCAGATTCCCAAATGATTAGGTACTCAAATACACGAATTCCCAAATACACCGATTCCCAAATACACGGATTCCCCAAATACACGGATTCCCAATCACACGGATACTCGGATTTCCAAATACTCGGATTCCAAAATGCTCAGATTCTTAGATACACGAATTCCCAAATGCACGAATTCCCAAATACTCAATTACAACAACATACTAAGGTTCATATATTTTTGTGACATTACATGCTTACATTAAACTTCAATAAAAATATGGAATTGACACCCAAAAAAATATTACTTAAAATTGCTATTGTCTTATTAATTGAAAAAAATGCTATACATTTAGTAGCTGTTTATTCTATTAGGCATTTGTTGATTGCATTAACACAAGGTCGTTTTCTGAATACCGATTTTAATGTATGAATCGTGTAAAAACCAAGAAGCAAGTGCTGAAAATAATGGAAGAAAAAATATGACTATCAAAAAATAAAAAAGTATAAATATTATTTTTCGAAATCAACCATTTATCAATATTTAAATTTACTTCGCAAAACTATGGCATTTGCGGTTACATTTTATATCTTATTTTTTTAAAACCAATAACACAAAGAAAAACAAAAGCAAATTCAAAAGAGAATGGTTAGCGATTTTAATTTTGTTATTCAAGTTGCACAAAAAAAAAATCAAACTAAATAAGATAACGTCATTAGCGTAAATAAACAATTTAGTGTATTTGGATTCAAGTCGCATTCACTATCCAAGCGGTTTCATGGTACGTATAAATCAACGAATTTTCTATTAAACATACTGTATTTCTTAATTTTTTGTAGCTTTAAGGATCTACAGCTCCCCGCAGCCAACCACAAAAAACAATTAAAAAATTGTTGGGCAGTCGTTGGCTGGCTGACATGACTTGACCCCAGCTTTCCGTCCGAACATCGCGCACACATGTAAATGGAAAATTTTTCACAGACAGTTGGGTGCGTGTAAAAAATTTCACTTTTGATTTATGCGGGCGGCTGGGAAAGGTGCTGCTAAAAAAAAAAAAACAAGAAATGAAAAATTTTGAGAACCTGAAACAGCTACCGCAATAATAAAATTGGTGGGAGGTGCGGGTGGATATAGAAGTTGATATTGCAACATATTTGCATAGACAACCATTAGGGCAACGACGACCATTCGGCCACTCAACCAATCCGGCCATGAATGGCTATTACAGCGAATAGATTATGTTTTGCTATGCACGTTGCTCTGTTGCCATAAAATTTTATCTGCCAAGTTAATTAAGCCAGCAGTTAGCCGGCTGGGAAGCTGGAACTCAACTATCCTGGAATACGGCAATCCTGTTCACTTGCAGTTGAAAATTTAATTAGTTATTCCATTTGCGCGCCACACTCGCTTTTCATTGCGGCCATTCAGACTGCTACCTCTCATTTTCCGGTTAACCCAAAGGATTCGCGAATGGAAAACGAAACCGAGCTGAGTTTTTTCGTCTGTCCAGTGGTCTGTGAATGGGTGAAGGGGCCAAGTGGCCAAGGGAAGGCCGCAGAAGTAGACACGAATATCTGATCAAGAGTTTCCACACCTTGGCAGGGAAATCACCAGAATCGCATCAAGACTCACGCAAAGAAAAACTTTTAACGGCATGCAACAGCCAGGGTCTCAAGTTCCACGTTGCAACTCTAGCACGCGATTCAATTTTTTGCTCAAATGCCGATTATAACTTGTACTTGTTGAAAAAGCTATACAAAAACCGAAAGGGAAAAAAAACAACATAAAAATGTGTAATGATTTTTTGGGCATGCTTAACATAGTTGCAATAATTTGCATGCGACTCTCGAGCGGCATGCAATGAACACTTCTCACGCAAGGCCCCATAATGGATTAATTACAGGGTAATACGATCCCGACAGGGCACAAGTTACTTGTATTAAGAAAAAAAAACAACGTTTTTAGTATACTAAAAACTTATAGTTAAGAACAGTGTTCTCAAATATCTTTGAAAAATAAATCTGTTATTTGGTTTGACCGATATTTTAGTAAATAATATCTTTAAAAACTTTTAAAGAGTAAGAAGCCCTAGAACTAAAACGTATAATTTTTTTTGTATATGTTGTAATTTTTGTTCAAGACTAATTATCGACCTTTAAAGTCTGTCCACCTGCACACAGCAAATCCAATTAGCAATGCCCATTTGGTGACTTCCATTTGACCAGAGATGGGCATCAAAGGAGTTACACGCTTAGGCACTTTAAGAGCTTGTTTGACCATCATGAACAGCAAACATAAAAACCCGAGGAGGTCCAAGCACTTGAGAATCGGAATAGGTATGGGAACATTAAATGGAATTTTTAAATGCTCTTGTAACCCTCAGACATCGACCGTTCCCATTCCCAAACTTGAGAAAAAACATAATATAAAAAATTCAATTTGTATGCCGGCGACAGGTGATTCAGATATTTGGCTCTAGATCGGGAACTTGCCCTCGTTCCAATCGATTGCATATTTTATGCTCCCATAACGACTCATTAATTCTATTGGAATGGAGTCGTAAACAAGGCAACAAAACTGACCCGTTATTACACGAAACGGGGGAAAAAAGAAAATAAATAAATCGGTACCATAAAATCTTGTTTGTTGACATATTTAAATGACGTATAAATTGAATAATAAAATGACCCGAAATGAGCAATAACCCATAAAAGCGGGTCATCAATGGAAACTCCAACCGGTTAACATTTTTTTATAAATATGTGTATATGTGTTCTAATTAGCTCAGAAGATTAATGAGATTGGCAGTCAAAAATATTGTATCTTTAATACTTTTAAATATAACTTTTTAAACAAATAACTAGTGTAGTTAAAGGGTTTATGCTGTATATTTGCATTCATATTTTAATAAGGGGTACAAATATAATTAAACCAGTGTACACCCCAATTAAAAAAATCTTCAGTAAATTTTAATGCCGCCGTAGAAGTCGGAGGACAAAGAGATCGAAATTGAAACAAGTCAAAGTCTAAAAAAAAGAAAAAATAATACATGTTAAAGAAATTTAATAAGACCACTAAGCCATATAAAGCAATAAAAAAATTAAAGTATTTTTTTATTTTCTGAGTTCTGTACCTACCAGCACCGACAGTGAAAGCAATGATCCATTTTCAAAGCTTTAAAAAATTAATAGCAACTGGGAAAAGCCAAAGTTGTGATTATAAATTATGTCCAAGATAGTTATGCATATATCTTAACAAGCGGGTTTTAAATAATTGCGGCCTGACCACATGGTAACTGAAGTAATTCATTATCCAATATAACGAGCAATTCATAGCCAACATAAAATTAATATATCCGATGCTCTTGCAAAATTAAAAAACTTCATCAACATTTAAAAGAAAATGTATAAATTTGTTGATCAAAAATATAAAAAAAATTATGTGAAGGCTAAGGAAATTGAAGTAAATATACATTGCTTGGTAGCTCTGGCCAAATTGCTTAGAACGGTTTCTATTTTCAGATTTGTCGTTGTGTAATTTGACAATGATATTGTTGGCAAGGCGTACTATACAAACTAAGTTAAACTATACAGTTTAGCAATGCCCTTTTCATCCGAATTAATTGGTAAAAGTCCTTTAATTTAAATGATGGCGTACATTCCCATCCTGGTCAAATATTAATTATATTGAAGGCTTCATTGCTTGAATTGTTTGAATTTAATTGAATTTCTCTCTAAGCAGCTATTTTGATTATTCAGTTTACAAGAGTCCCGAGGCGTTGGCCCTATTGAAATTCATTTAGTTGTCCAACAACTAATTGAAATAATCATGCGAAAATTTGTCTAATTTGTGGTCTTGTCCCCTACATAATTCACGATGCAGGCCATGAAATTCTGTACTCCGGTGTCTGGGCCCTGACATTTCGGTACAAATAAGGCAGTCAAGCGGCCATTTGCTGGTTCCATGCGCATTTTCTTCATCAATGATTAATTGTTTTGACAATGTTGCAGCTATGTACCTCTATCTGCCCCACTCCCCTTTCTCGTCTGGCTTTGGATGTGGATGTGGATGTGGTGAAGTATTCCGCGTGGCAAACTCAAACCTCTGCCCCTGGTCGATGTCACATTTGTGGCCTGGCACTGACGAATGTCCCCAAATTGATGTATGATTTTGGCAGCGATGCCAAAAACCTGATGGGGGCAGTAGTCTGTCTCCATTTCCGGAGGCCCCCTCTCGTTCAGACCGCTGTGTGTGGAAGATTTAGTGCAGAGCTTTGGGTTTTGTGGACCATTTTTGGCAAGATATGATATATCTCTCACTAAAGTTGAATGGGCTCGTAGAGCTCAGTTTATGGTAGTTGCACGAATTAAAGTTGCTCGTAGATATGCACATGGACTACAAATTCAATGCAATCACAACGAGTAAGCAACGAGTAAGCTATAATTTAAACTATTTTATGTCTGAAAATGATTAGTCTATACAACACCAATTACATTGTTTTTTTGTTTTCAATACCTACCCTTGCTTAAAATCAGGTTTCTGGATTTCCCCGTGTAATATCAGAAATGTCACTGACAGGTAGTTCGATTTCCTTAGGTTTGTAATTCAGACATTTCCATCCGGTCTTGCTGTAAATAAATCAGGTTAAAACAATTTCCTTGCTGCTGTATTTTACACCTTCGTTTCCCTTTGGCGACAGCTTAACAAATTCAACTGAAAAATAAACAAAGTAGAGCAGTGGACAGAGGATGAGCCGAGGAGACCAAACAGTTTAGCTTTAGTTGCCCAAAAAACTTTCACTTGACCCTTGTCAAGCGATTCCAAAGGGGGGTTTGGGTTGGCCCAAGGTGCGGGGTCAAAGACAGTCGAGTGTTGTAATCAACAGAAAATTGGCACCAGTCAACGTATCCCCTCCCAGAATTTATCCTTCCGCCCCCTTAGTTTTAGTTGTGCTCTCTGTTCTGTATATGTATCTGTGTCAGTGTCAGCATCGTTTACGCTTAACTTCCCCCAGGATCTTTTTTGGGGGTGGATGCCTTGACCAACTGACTTAGTGCGAGGGTTGCTCGATTTGGCTCTGTTCTGCTGTCGTTGATAAGTCGGCAGGTTCAATAAATCGTCGCCCTAACCGAAAATACATACATAGTTAGCGGATAGTTGCAGTCACTTGGAGTCCCCACTTGGCCATTATCGTGCCGATGAAATCTAAAAATGCGACCCCATGTAATCGTTTGCCATTTTCTTTATCATTTGCCAACATAAATTAGGAACTAAACGCATGAGCTAAACTAAGAGTGGCGCGTCCTATGGATT